TTCTCTACTAATATTGATCTCCCTCAGTTCTTCCCTCTCACTAAATCTTGCATCCTCCCAATAATTCTGGTATCTGATTTTTGTCTTCCTTTGTGAAGGCAGAACCAAAGTATGTATTCAGTTCCTCCATCATTTCTTTGTCTCCTATTATACATAGCCGTGTTCCTATCTGTAGGGGACCTACATTTGTCTTTAGCAATCTCTTTCTCTTCACGTACCTATAGAAACTTTATGTTCCCTGAAAGCTTACTTTCGTACTCCATTTTTCCCTTCGTAATCAATCCCTCAGTCCTTCTTTGCTGAACTCTAAACAATTCCCAAACCTCAGATTTATTATTTTTCTTGGCCAATCTGTATTTTCCTTCCTTGGATCGAACACTATCTCTTCTTTCCTTTGTAAGCTATGGATTGGCCCTCTTAGCCATGTTGCTTTTGTGACAGTCAGGAATAAACAGTTGTTGCAGTTCCCCCATGTGTTCCTTGAATGTTTGCCATTGCCTATGTACTGTCATCCCTTTAAGTAACTTTTCCCAATCTATCAAGGCCAACTCACGCCTCATATCCTCATAGCTTCCTTTATTAAGGTTCAGCACCCTAGTCTCCAAAACAACAACCTCATTCTCCATCTTGATAAAAAGTTCTATCATGTTAAGATTGCTCTTCCCCAAGGGGTCTCGCACAAGTAGATTGGCAATGATTCCCTTCTCATTACACAGCACCCAGTCTAAGATGGCCTGCTCTCTAGTTGGTTCCTCCACAAATTGGTCAAGAAAACCATCCCGCATACACTCCAGAAATTCCTCCTCTACGGCATAGTGGCTAATTTGATTTGCCCAATCTATGTCCTCTTCACAGTTTATTTTCCTACCTATTTTTGTGTCATCAGCAATTTTGGCAACAAGACCCTTCCATCACCTAATCTAAATAATTTATATAATTTGTAAAATAATTACGTTCCTGGCACTGATCCCTTTGGCAAACCATTTTTTCACCTTGCCAATCTGAAAAAGACCCATTTATGTAGAATTTCTACTTCCTGTTAGCCAGCCAACCTTCTATCCATTGCCAATATGCTACCCCTAAACTACAAACTTTTATTTTCATAATACATTTTAAGTGGCAAATTATGAAATACCTTTGGACATTGAAGTACAGTAATACCACCAGTTCCTCTTTTTCCATGGAATGTGTTACTTCCTCAAATAACTCCAAGAGATTTGTTAAACATAATTTCCCCTTCACAAAAACATTGTTGAATCTGCTTGATTATCTTGAATGTACCCAAGTGCCCTATTATAATGTCTTTAGTAATAGCTTGGAACATTTTCCCTATGACAAATGATAATCTTACCAGCCTGCATTGCCTGTCTGGGGCTGTTTAGCTCAGTTGGCTGGATATCTGATTTATGAGGTATACTGATGCCAAAAGGATGGGTTTGAATTCCTGCATCAGCTGAGGTTACTGTAAAGGATTCTCCTTCAACCTTTCCCCTCACCTGAGGTTAAACCACAACCAATCATCTCTCTCTAATGAGAAAGTAGCCTCAAGGTCGGTAGGGCTATGGTGACTTTATCTGTTTCTGTCTCATTCCTCTTCTAAATAAAGGAGTTATAGTTTTTATTGTGCATTCTAATGGACCAAATCCTGAATCAAAGAAAGTATGGAAAATAAAACCAATGCATCAACTATCTCACAACCCTCATCTTTTAAGATACTAGGATGATGTCCATCAGGACCTAAGCACTTGTCAGCCCACAGTACAAACAATTTACTCAATAACACCTCTCTGATCATTGTAATTTTCCTCCTTTCCTCTGTATCTATCACAACTTCTGGAATGTTAGTTTTTTCTTCTCTGGTAAAGACCGAGGTAAATACCTGTACAACTCATTTGTTATTTCCTACTTTTCTGATGTTAATTCTCCAATCCCACATTCTGGAGGAGCAATGCTCAATTGTTAACTCTTTACTTCCTTAAATATTTGTAAATGCTCTTACTTCTTTATATTTTTGGCTAGCTTCCTCTCATCCAATTTTTCCTTCTTTTTATGATTTTTTTGGTCATTCTTTGCTTATTTTTACATTCTGTCCAATCTTCTGATCTGTCACCTGTCTTTGCACAGTCATATACATTTTCCTTTAGTTTGATACTATTTAGACATTTCTGTTTAACCATAGATGCATCCCTTGGAAGTTTTCTTACTCATTGGAATGTGTCTATTCTGTGTATTTTGAAATAGCCCCTTAAATGTCTGCCATTGCATCTATATTGATCTATCCTTTAAACAAATTTGCCAATTCACTTTAGCCAGTTCGGCTTTCATGCCCTCATAACTCGTCTCATTTAAATTTAGTTTTATAATCCTGGACACACTCCTCTCTCCCTCAAAATGAATGTAAAATTCAATCCTATTAAGGTCACTGCCACCTAGTGGCATCTTCACTGTGAGGTTATGCATTAACCTATCTCATTGCATAATACCAGTTCTAATATAGTTCCTAACCCTAACACATCCCCATATGTTCCCAAGATCTGGTTGGGAATTTAGTGGGCATTAAAGATTCTTTTGGTTCTGGTCAGTGGATGGCACATGTCTGACAATTGGTAATAAGCTCCTCTTCATCACTGGCCATCCTAGACAACTGAGCTCTGGCACTGCACTTGGTGATTCCGAAGTGTCCTACGTACAACTTCCCCAACATGACCAGTCATTCGTCATGTACTGGTATATCATCAACAATGGTAAAATGTCTCCTTTGTTCTAAATATAATTTCTTGGCCACTTGTTTGCCCTTTTCTGCAGCACACCACAATCCTTTATTCCCAACAATAATAATGGCCAATGCTTCAGCTACAATCTCAAAGAGCAGTAATCTTCCAGGATCAGCAGATTCAGTTCAATATCAGCAGATATTCCTGTTCTCTCATTTATCCTTTTCAAATCTGGCCAATCCAATTCTGACTTGTTGGCCATTGTGCCGCTGTGGATTGTATGTGTGACTTGATTTCTTGGATGCAGTCTATATCACAATTAGTAAGGCTATCACCACTGCACTAGACAGCGCATCTGCCATTGTATGTATCTTCCTCTGTATGTAGACTGTTTTGTAAGCAAAATTCATGAGATAAAGTCAGAATCTTTGTACTTTTGGAGGCATTCTTGCAAGTTCCTGCTCATTGAGTAGAAAAACTAAAGGTGTGTGATTAGCTTCAATGACCACTTTGAGTCTTATAATTTGTCTGAATATCTCATAAGGCCAGGTAACTGAGAGAGCTTCCCTTTCAATTGCAGTGTATTATGTTTTTGTATCAAATAATGCTCTTGTTGCAGAATAGACTGGTTTGCAACATCCATCTGGCTGCCCCGAGAAGATTACTGATCTTAAGCATTGCTGCTATTATTATTGGAAATAAAAGATTATAGTGCACGAAGACATCTATGGACAACAACATTTCTTTAATCTTGCGTAATGTGTTCTCTTGATGAGAATTTCAATACCATTCTTGTGTCTTCTTGAGGAGTTGACTCACGAGCTATGTAACGGTTCCAAGGTTAGGTAGGTGCTAGTGTTTCCATTTATTTGCTGCCCTTGCCTTCCTAGATGGTAGAGTTTGGAAGGTGCCATCAGAGGATGCTTGGTAAACTACTGCAGTGAATCTTGTAGATGGTACACGCGGTTCATTGGTGGTGAAGGGAATGAACATTGAAGGTTGTGGATGGGTGTTAATCAACTTAGCTGCTTTGCCCTGGAAGGGATCAGGCTTCTTGACTATTGTTGGAGCTGCAGGCAGCCAGACAAGTTGAAAGCATTCCAAGACGTTCTTGACTTTTACATTCTAGGTGGTAGACAGGCTTTGGGCAGTCAAGAGGTGTGTTACTCACTACAGAATTCCTAGCCTCTGACCTGCTCTTGTCACCACAGTATCTCTTCTGTCTAGTCCAGTTTAGTTTCTGGCCAATGGTAACTTCCAGTATGTTGATAGTTGGGGATTCAGCGATTGTGATACCATTGAATGTATTGGTTAGATAGCTTGATTCTCTCTTGGTCGCAGTGGTAATTACCTGGAACTTGTGTGAATCAAATGTTGCTTGCCACTTTTCAGCCTCAGCTTGAATATTGTCCAGGTCTTGTTGTTTGAGGAGTCATGAATGGTGGTGAACATCTTACAGTCATCAGTAAGTAGTTCTCCTTCTGACCTTATGGTGAAGGGTAGGTCATTGATGATGGAGAATGAAATCTCCAAAAAAGGATGCATTCTTTTCACTTGCTACCTTCAGTGCCTTTTCCATATGGTGGTCAAACTGCAGCAGGACTTATTCATCAAATAAGGGATGAAGTTAGAGGTAATCAGCAGGAGGTTTCCTGGCCCATGTTTGACTTAATGCCATGAGACTTCATTCGCTCTACAGTCAATTTTGAGGACTCCCAGAGCAACACACTCCTGACCTTTGCTGGGTCTCTCCGTATCTGTCAAGTCTGGTGATGGTGCTGTCTGGGATATTATTTATCAGATATGATTTGGTGAGTATTTCTCAATTGAGCTGTTTTTTGACTCAGCTGTGGGACAATTCTCCCAATTTCAGCACAAGCTCCTTGAGGTTAGTAAAGAGAATTTTGAGGGGCTGAAAAAGCCAGGTATACCATTCTTATTTCCAGTGTCTAAGCTGATGCCAGGTGGTCCTTCTCATTATGTTATTACTTAACTTTGTCGCATATTTCCAACTTAACACTGGTTTGGTAGACCATTTCAGAGGGCAGTTAAGAATTGCACGTTAACAAGCTTCAAATTGTTAATTAAAGTCTTCTAACAAGTACAATGTAATTATTAGTTTAGTGAGAATTCTGAGTGGTAAATGCCCTCTCACACAAAAAACTTGCAATTCAAGGGTTTAAATATACTGCTAAATTATTACATTCTGTTCTGAACGACTAACTACTTTACCTTTATGAGTATGTGTTACTGCTTTACTATTCTGTGTTTTATTTTGTTTGGCAGGATCAGCATTTACAACTTCAGATAACTTAACTCTCAGCACCTGGGTAGCATCTTCCTCCAACTTCTCTGGTTTTCAGCACCCTCAGTCCCTCACTGCAATTGCTACAAGCACGGCCTCATTAGCCGCACCCATTCCCCACCCTATCCAGGGCTCACTCCCGCCATACAGCCGCATTGGAATGCCTCTGACACCATCGGCCATTGCAAGCTCTATGCAAGGAAGTGGACCAACGTTTCCTACGTTTCACATGCCCAGGTATCACCATTATTTCCAGCAAGGGCCGTATGCTGCTATCCAGGGACTGCGACACTCCTCAGCTGTAATGACTCACTTTGTATGATTGACTCAATAATGGTGCATTTCACACAAACGAAGCTGGCACTTGTGAAGGATGCACAGAAGCCGTACAACAAGAACATAGAGGCACAGTTGAAGCAACAGCTCCTGCAGGGCAATGCCAAACAAAGTACAAGTTTCTGAGGGCATTGCAGCAACTGGACTGCAAATCCCAGGTTGCATTGCAACAAGACTGGACTACAACCCCCAGCGTGCATTGCAGCACATGGACTAGAATTCCCATGCTACACTATTACCATTCAAGCCTCAGCAGCTGCAATGTATTACAATCCCATGGTGAAGAAGGCCATTTGATCAGGATACAACTCCTGCCCATCACCACCTCTGGGCCGGAAGGTCTGGGTTTAAGTCCCAGCTGTAACAGAGGTAGATCACGATATGTATGAACAGGTTGATTAAAGTAACTACAGCTTCCCCCTCCCAACTGCTCCCACTGCAATTCCTAAGGTTGCTAGGAATGAAGTGCAAACAATATGCTGGCTTTCGAGCACCAAATTTAAATTGATTTGCTGGATAAGAGATGCATCAATCCTCAGTGATCGAGGACAGCAATAGCTCTAGTCCCTGTAGGACATTTCTGCAACGGTGACAGTATTCTCTATGTCATGTCCCAGCGAATCATCTTGCCACCTGCACTGTAAGGCCCTGCAGCTGACAAACTGAAGCCTTACTGAGGGTCAGAGCATGCAGCCACGTCTCAGAAACACCCAGTTTAGGAACCCAGTAGGAAACCTCACAGTCTCTCTGCAGTTTGCTGCATTCATCATTTAATATCATAACATTTTTGTGAGCATGTTCACTCTTACGTTTTTTTAAAAAACAAAAAAAAACCATGCTGTGTTTTCTCTCATGTATTAGATTATATTCAAACAAAATCTTGGAGTTACATCTACTAAGAATTGTTTTCTAAAAGTGCAATATATTTATTTCTGCAGGAACTGATAAATCAATGTAATGAAATATTTGAAACCTAAGATTAAAATTCAGTATTTGTAAATGGCAATGTCTACACAGTTGCAAAATGGACTTTCATTGCTGTTATTTGTGTATGTGTGTGTGTGTGTGTGTGTGTGTGTGTGTGTGTGTGTGT